GAAAAACAAAAGACCCAGGATAGCCAAAACAACCCTGTTCAACAAGGCAACGTCCGGAGGCATCACTATCCCTGACCTCAAGCTCTATTATAGAGCTATAGTCCTGAAAACAGCTTGGTATTGGCACAAAAATAGACAGGCAGACCAATGGAATCGAATTGAAAATCCGGGTATTAACCCACACACGTACGAACATCTGATCTTCGACAAAGAAGCTAAAAATATACAATGGAATAAAGAAAGCATCTTCAACAAATGGTGCTGGCATAATTGGAGACTGGCATGTAGAAAAATGCGGATCGATCCATGTTTATCGCCATGCACAAAACTTAAGTCCAAATGGATCAAAGACCTCAACATAAATCCAGCCACACTGAACCTCTTAGAAGAGAAAGTGGGTGGTACCCTTGAAAGAATTGGTACAGGAGACAGCTTCCTGAACATAACACCAGTAGCACAGACAGTGAGATCAACAATTAATAAATGGGACCTACTGAAACTGAGAAGCTTCTGTAAGGCAAAGGACACAGTCAGCAAGACAAAAAGGCAGCCCACAGAATGGGAAAAATATTCACTAATCCCACATCTGACAGAGGGTTGATCTCCAAAATTTACAAAGAACTCAAGAAGCAAGTCTCCAAAACAGCAAAGGACCCAATTAAGAAGTGGGCTGCAGAACTAAATAGAGAGTTTTCAATAGAGGAGTCTAAAATGGCTGAGAGGCACTTGAGAAAGTGCTCAACATCCTTAGCCATCCGGGAAATGCAAATCAAAGCAACTCTGAGATACCATCTCACTCCTGTCAGAATGGCTAAAATCAAAAACACCAATGACAATTTATGCTGGAGAGGATGTGGTGAAAGGGGGACACTCCTCCATTGCTGGTGGGAGTGCCAACTGGTTCAGCCACTTTGGAAAGCAGTATGGAGATTCCTCAGAAAAATGGGAATAAACCTACCACAAGACCCAGCAACTGCACTCTTAGGCATATATCCAAAAGATGCCCATTCATATAACAAAGATGTCTGTTCCACTATGTTCATAGCAGCTTTATTTGTAATAGCCAGAACTTGGAAGCAACCTAGATGTCCCTCACCCGAAGAATGGATAGAGAAAATGTGGTACATCTACACAATGGAGTACTATTCAGCAGAAAAAAATAATGGAATCATGAGATTCGCAGGCAAATGGATGACACTAGAAGAAACCATCCTGAGTGAGGTAACCCAGTCACAAAAAGAGAAACATGGCATGTACTCTCTCATATATGGATTTTAGACATAGATCTGGGGAGTGCCAGCCTACAATCCTATTGCCAGAGAGTCTGGGAAACAGAAACTTCATTTACTGGCTGGTTAAGTACTGAGCTGAACTCAAGAAAGCCAGTATCAGAGAGGGAGGACTGATGATCAAAGGGATTAAGACTGGGCTGGTTGAACCCCCAGAAACAGCTGACCAGACAAAGGTTAACTCTTGAATCCCAGGCATCAGCCTGGGAATCCAGCATGGGACTGATCAAGACCCCCTGAATCTGGGTGTCAGTGAGGAGGCCTAGGTAATCTATTGAGCCTTGGACAGCAGATCAGTACCCATCCCAAGTATACACACGGTCTCTGGACTCCCATAGAACAATGTGAGGTGCACTCTCACCCTGAACTCTTGGGGAAGGGTCTAGGCCCTGCCCTATATGAAATGACAGACTATGGACACCCCCATGGAGGGCCTCACCCTCCCTGGGGGAATGAGGGGATAACGGGGGGGGGGGGATGGGGGGTGGGCACAGGAGGAGGGGAGGGAAAGGGAGAGGGACCTCGTACTGACTTGTGAAGCAACCTTGTTTCTTATCTAAATTTAAAATGGAAAATAAAAAAAATATTAATATAAAAAAAAAAAAAAAAAAAAAAGAATGCAAAAAAAAAAAAAAAAAAAAAAAGAATTATCATGTCCCGCCGGGGAATTGGTGGCGCACGCCTTTAATCTCAGCACTCAGGAGGCAGGGGCAAGTGGATCTCTGTGAGTTTGAGGCCGGACTGGTCTACAGAACTAGTTCCAGGACAGCCTCCAAAACAATACAGAGAAACCCTGTCTCAAAAAAAAAAAAAAAAAGAATTATCATGTCCCATGTGTCAGTAGCACCAGGATTGAGAAACCCTACTCTAGGGCTATATTATTATTAAAGTACAAGCCCCTTACAGGCAAAAATAATGTTCTGTACTTCTTTTATAACCATGTTCTAGGAAAATCATAGTTACATGGTTCAGTCCTATTTGTTTCAATTTGGTTAACTCTCAGAACACACGCACACACACACACATAACCATCACATGCGCCCTTGCATGTGATCTCTCCTAGAGATTTTTTTTAACTTTCTTTTCCTGGAAGAATGTTTGGATTCCTTAGCTCTTCCAAAGGAAACTATATAAAACGGACCCTAGTTATAAATGGGCCTCCATGGAAGAGCCTGCAAAGAAATCACTCAGGGGTCATGTGGACAAACAACCTCATGCTGTAAACCTGAAACTGCATGTTATCTAGACCCGCCCCAGGTTGGCTGTCAGCCCTTGTGAATTCAGGCACCCATGGACGGTGGAGGGTAAGAGCTGAGCTTCCTGGGGGCTGCTTCCTCATCTTGCCTCAGGAGGTAGCTTTATTTGCTGCCTGTTTTTTGAGTATGAGGAAAGGGAGTACTTTTGCCAAGTTTCTATAATCAGTCTAAGTGAACAAATTTGCCTTTATCTACTGCAGATTCTCCAAGGGAAAAGCTGAGCCAAGCCTCATGGAAGCAGCATCTCTGACCAAGCTGTGCAGGAGGGTCTGTAGCAAAGTTGCATTTGGCCTTTGAACTTGATGTCCTAAGCCAGGGATTAGTCTTCAAGCTTCTGCCTAGAGCCTTCTCAAGCTACTCCAGCCAGACTTGCAGGATCTACCAAAGCACTCAGCTGCAAAGCTGCCTGTATGGTCCAGTCTGCAAGCAGTTACTTAGACCTGAGCCCATCTAAGGAGATGGCTAATTAGCGCCAATGCCACAGTCCATCGGTACAAGTGGGGATTACTTTTAGTTGTCATAATCAAATTCCTGCACGGTTTCTTCTGATCCTCTGTAACTGCCCCCAAACACTGACCCTGCAATGTAAAGTTAGGATTGGCAGTTATTAGTATCCATTTTGAGTCATAATATATTGGCACTGAAAGTATGTCAGAGCAGGTCTCCAGCCTGGCATCCCGTGGCCCAGGAAACCAAGGTCAAAGAAGGGTGTGCCAGGAGAAAACAAAGCAATTCCTTGAACTGAGGTCTCCTGACTTCAGGGGAAGTATCCGTTACCCTCTTTCAAAGTACATATACAGACTAGGTCAGAGAACAGCTCTTATTTCCCTTGAACCATAAGCAAAATCTTGCCTGAGGACTATGGTCCTCATCTTTAGGCTTTTAAATTTAAGATCTGAAGTAGCTCCACACAGAGTGTAATGCCTCGTTTCTACAACTTTGAACCCTTGAGATGTTGAGGCAGGAGAACCACAAAGTCAAGGCCAGCCTCGACCTACATAGTGGGTTGAAAGGCAGCCTGAAATATAGGCGACCTTGTCTCAAAAACATGGAGAACTGAAGTACCTTCGTTCAACCCTACATACTACATAATCCACTTAGAAGACTAGGGAAGGAGAATTCTGTGCCCATAATGGAGAGCAAATAAAAACATCCCAGGAATTCAAATCTTTCCCTAGAAAACAAGTGGGTTGTCACTTTCTTACACATTCTTGGGTTATAGGAAGGGCCACCCTGTTCTCAGATTGTATTTCAGACTCAGAAACTGAAGAGAAGGGGAATGACCTTAATTGAGTGATATCTGGAGAGAATACAAGGCACAAACCCTCCGGCATGAGGATAACCCACAGAAGAGTCTACAGGTATAATGCTGGCCATGTGGATGGGTCAGTTCAGCAGGGCAGATTTCTACTGCCTTCGAAATGCAGTCTTCGTTGGCTCATGACTAAACTGAGCAGGTGACAATTACAGTCTCACACAGTAAAGGAACAACAACAAAAAGCATCGGGTGAGATGAGGGGCCTGGCTCCTCTAACAGGTAGGCTTATGTATTGTTTTAAAATATGAAACCTGGCCCTACTGAGCTATGAGTGACGTAAGAAGGTGACAGGGGCACTTCTTCAGATCTGCACCGCTTCTGACAATCCAAGATCCCTAAACTTGGCTAAGCTCAGGAAGGTACGGTAAGAAAGTTACCTCAGAGGTTTGAAAATGGAGACCGACAGCAAGTGTTCTCCTTATCCCCATCACCACTTTCAGTGTACTGATGGAGGCGCTGAGCCTACGAAACATCCATTTCCTCCTAGTCATTGCCTTAGAGACTTAGAAGGAATAGTGAGTTCCTAACAGTTGAAATGCACCAAACTACTAAGCTTTACTCAGCTTGGAATATATTTTCTGGTGTTTATGCAAGCTCCAAGATTAGACAAAAAAAAAACTGTGAACCCTAGTGCTTGCTTGCTAATGGGTCCTGCTACGTGAGACTTTGAGGGGATGTGGACATGAACATGGGTTATACCCTTGACCTTACAAAGAAGCATCTATAGATGCTTGTAGTATGTAATCACTCTCCTTTGGCCTAGTGAAGCCAAGAGGGTCTAGGGTGGAAAGTTAGAAGTCTCTCCTTGTGCAGAGGGTTCCGTGTGTCTTAGGATAAGGAGTAATTCTTTAGAGCGCAGAAGTCCCCTAAGAACATCTCATCTCCACCTATGGGTGACCCCCAGATTTAAGGGTTCTGGCCTGTGCACCTCAAAGTCCTGGGCTTCTCTCCAAGGACTTGAAGTGGAGATCACTGAAGGGAGACTACTGTAGCCCCTACACCAGAGCTCCTAGATGTGCTCTTGCTCCGTGGCAGCCAGGGGACTCTTAGCCAGTCTCCTAAGAGCTGTTTCCTACCAAGGAAACAAACATCTGGTAACCAAGTGCTGCCTCCCCCTTCCCCCAGAACCTTTCTCACCTTGTCGGAAGGAGATATACACCAGCCTCTCATCGAACTTCTGGACCTGCCGGAAGTTGTTGACCATTTCTTTGGGGGAAGGATCATCCATGTGTGTGAAATACAGAGCTGTCTCCAAAGCCAGCAGCTGAGGGGAAAAGCGGAAATGGGTCTCATGAGTAGGAGATGCTCGCTGGCCTGGCTTACTGGGGAGAGGACTGGGGAGAAGCCTCTGGAATCAGCTAATGGAGTGCTTGACAGGAGCTATTTGAAAGCAATGGGAAAGCCAGAGAACAATTTCCCCATCCTGAGGGTCTCACTAGCTAGCTACTGCTTGGTTGGGCTGGGTCCTTCCTGCTGTCAACGTTCTTAGTGATCCCAGAATCTGCCCCCAAAGAAGGGAAACTGAAGAAAATGACTACTTAGGCTCTCACCAAGATCACATTCCTTTCATGAGCCCGAACTCTTAAAGCAGTGGGGGCTAGGCTTGGTTTTTTTAGTAGTCAAATCAGAATAAAAGACAGAGGGAAGAGGCCAGCTGGTGATGTGACTGCTGGCTCCCTGGCATTTCACACCCCCATGAATATGATACAATCGGTTTCTACAGCAGCTTCTGGGTTAGACTATGACTGCTTCTCACACTTTTCACCTCTGATTCAGCTCATCCCCTCCTCTGTCCACCCACCAGCTGCCATTTATCGAGGTTTCTCCGTTCAGAAGCTAGTAGTGAAGAGCAGGAGTTTGACAGTGAGAACTGACTGGCACCACCGGGGTGGAGGTGATAATTATGCAGCATCATCCAACCTTCTCTACACCTCTCTCCTTCTTGCTTTTAGGCTGTGGGGTAACAGGATGAGCAATGACTCAACTCAGGAGTCAGGTGATCTGAGAACTTCTAACCCTGACTTCCAACCTGAGTAGTTGCTAATGACCCAGCTCCCAGCTTACACCTCTAGATTGTGAGCTCCAAGAGCAGTGACCCTTTCACCACTGCAATCCCAGGGCCCACGTGTTAACCTGATGGGAACTTTCTTCTGCCCCACCAAAGGGGCCAGGCTCTCCCACCCGGACAGCAAATGCCACCCAGCCACTGATTGGGTATGTTAGCAAACTCAGTTTTGCAGCCCTCTTTAAAGAACTATGGGAAGTGTGCCCACTTTCCTAGCCTGATGTTTAACTCCTCTTAGAGCTTAGTCTGTAATTCCTACAGCATGTCAGTGGCAGGCCACTCGAGAGGTTCTGGAGAGCTGATAATGGAACTCAGAGGAAGTCAAGTCATTGATTAGAGCAGATTGTGGCCAGGAACAAGATGCTGTATAGTCTCAGGCTTGTTACCTGATCCTGGGAGATCTGCACAGGGTTTCGGAAAACTGTCCAGAGCACAGTAGGGTAGCAAGGAGGTGTAGTCAGGGACCCTTCATAGCGGTAGTACTCGCCAGGGCTCTCAGGCAGAAGTTCTTCAATGTTGAAGCCTGGGATGAGTGCTTGTTGGCCTGGAGAGACATATTGGGAGTGAGGGCACCAGCCTACCTCCTGATAGGACAGGCATATGCATAGTAACTGAGCTTAAATACTCACATTCAGGTCATTCAGGCACAGTGAATGCGGTCTTTTCTGGGCCACCTGACCCAGTGTCACAACACTGCCCAGTAACCTGCTGCTGTCAATGTGATGAACACAGACTGCACCCACTCCATGCTGCTGTTATTCTTAAAGTGACACAGGTGTGACCACATCCTGTGTAACAGTGAGCGAATTAAGTAGCCAAGAACCCCTCACCTTTGTACTTAACATGTTGAAGATGACTGAAGATCTTGTCATATGATGGATTGGTGGAGCCTATCTGCAACAGAGACCAGGCAGGTTGAGCTGGGACAGAATAAGATAGGCTCAGCCCTCATTGACAGTTACCATTAGAGGGCTAGACTGGAGGCCTTCCCAGAGGACCTGCCTTACAAAGAAGATTCTGACCCATCACCAGACTGTTAAACGTTAGTATAGTTGACCTTTTGCATCAAATGGTATCTAGTTTTTAGCTTAAGACACCAGGTTTGAGTATTCCAGCATATAGGGTATGTTCCTGGTTATCTGATATGAGCCCAAAGACTATACCAGTCTATTTTACCTAGAGCTTCAGGGAGCTTTGAGTTCACAAAAGCCAAGCCAGATAAGTAAGCACACTGGGAAATGGGAGCATGTTGCCTCATTTGGGGAAAACAAAGCAAGCTGATCATTCCCCACCCCCATCCCCAATTTTTGAGCTAAATCTTGATATGTAGCTCATGTTGACCTCAAATTCTCAACAAATCCTCCTGTCTCAACCTCCAACCTGCTGGGATTACAGGCATTCACCACCATACCAGGCTCCATTCTTGATTCCCAGTATTAAATAATTCATTCCGGAATGGATTAAATAATTCATTCCAGAGCGTAGTTTGTATGCTAGGTGTTGTATCAGTGATGGATGCATCTGATGGTATAGCACAAGGATCCCTGTAACCCAGCCCTCCCCAGCCAGATGATCTCATACTATGCAACAGGGCTGGAGGAGGAGGCTCATATTTTCAATGTCACGAAAGCTATGTCTGTTTCAGCTGCCTAAGTACACAAAAGGCTTCCTCTGAGAAAAGACAGGAGCCATATGAGGAACAGCCCTGCTCTAGAGGCAATGCAGGGCCATCCAGGAGCAACTCACTACCCATTGCTGTGTCGCATGCCTAGTTCCTGATACCATCCCTGCTACAGACCTCATGTCAAGAAGCCCTTTGAACCTCGTACCTCAATGAGAACGGCAAGGACAGCGAGGCCTTCTGACTTGTCACTGGCGGTGCGGAAGTCAGGGTACAGGTCTGAGTTATAATGGACAATATGCAGCTGCAATAGGAGAGAAAGTACCCAGGAGGGGACAAGTGACTCACGGGAACCTTTTGTTTCTGCAGAAGACTTGAATCCAACTAGAAAGATAGGCATCTGTCCCTTCTCTCCCCCAACAGAATTGATTCCTCACCCATAGCATCTATCCAGTTTTCCCCCTTCCCTAGTCCTCACCAGCCTGCAAACCAGGGCACATCCTATCTAATTCATTAGATCCCTAGTATCTGACACGGCACCTGTAAAATAGCAGAAGTACAATAGACAAGAATGAATGAGTGAGTGAATGAGTGGAGTTTTATGTTAACCATAGTGCTTTGGAGATCTTCTCCCTTCGGGTTTTTTTTTTCTGGAGCCTGGGGTCAAGTTGTCTCTGGTAGTTTAGCATCTCTATACTTGATCTGGAAGCAATGGCAGTGGGGCTGCCGGCTACAACTTAATCATAATTGATAATGCACAAAACATTGGTGTTTATCCCTCAGGCAGACAAAATCACAGCATGGCTTTTACCGGCTGGGTTTACCACTCAGATTTTAAGAGTCTATAAAAAATGATATTCCACAAATGTAGACTTTTATTTTCTCAAAATAAAATTCTAAGTGGTGGAGTTTTAATCAGGTCAGAAATTAATTATTAATGTAAAGAGAAGTTTTTGAGAAAAACCTAGATTTAGAAAGTGTAGGCACACAATATGACCCTTATTAATATAAATTCTGGTGATGCTTAATCTGACATTTAATCCTAAACACAGTATCACCTAGCCTTGAGAAAACTTTATAGTGGATAGCTCTAAATGTAAAATACATTCACTTTCCTTCTGTGCCCTTACAACTATTGCATATTGAAGTATATCTTTACTTCTTTTTTCTATTCACTTATCATCTCCTTTGTTGAAAGAAATTCACCATAAGGTCTGTTTTTAATGCCGTTACATAGCCCTTTTTCTGTTTTTCATTTTATTTTTATGTGTATGGATATTATGCCTATATGTGTATCTGTGTACCATGAGCATGCCTGGTTCCAGTGGGAGTCAGAAGAGGGCATTGGTTGGAGTTACAGGTGGCTGTGAAATGCCAGGTAGGGAAACAGAACCAGGGTCATGGGGGGGCAGAATTTTACTGTATAGCTTAATCTGGCCTTGGGCTTGAAATCCTCGTGTCTCAGCCTCTTGAGTGCTAGGATTACAGGCATGCACCACCATATCTGACTTTCATGTTACTTCTTGCAAGTTACTATCTGTTAAGGTTTCCTTGGGGGCTCTTGCTTCACCATCTTTCTCATAAATGATGGTCCATACCATCTTAGAACGACTTGGAAAAACAGTAGGCTTCTATTTGTGTAAATTACTCAAGGTGGTTATTGCTTGATCTTTGACCCTGTGGTTTGCTTCAGCTCTTAACATATTCAGACTAAATAAAAATGAAGTTAAAAACTAATCTAGGTCTATTGCGTTCCCTGGTGAGGGGCTTCAGAAAGAGTCTTCTGCATCCCCACCCAATAGAACCACTACTTCAAAGAGATTCTCTACAGAATCTGCCCATTAGGCTTGCCTTGATGCTTTTTCTCTAGAATTAGCAATTATGGCCTATTTTTACCAGGCTTTGTCTGGTTATTAGCTTAAAAGCAAAAAATACAATTATTTTTCTTAAGATTTTATTTTTATTTTAGCTAGGCATGGGGCACATGTCTTCAACCCCAGCATTAAAAGGTGGACGCAGGAGAATTTCTGTGAATTCACGGCCAGCCTGATCTGCATAGTAAGATCTAGGCCAGTAAGGACTACATAGTAAAATTTTGTATCAAATGTTAAAAGGATGTGTGTGTGTGTGTGTGTGTGTGTGTGTGTGTGTGTGTGTGTGCGCGAGCGCGCGCGCGTGCATGTGAATGCAGAATCTGAGAAGGCCATAGGAAGGCATCAGATCCAGTGAAGGTAGAGTTACAGGTAGTTGTGAACTCCAAAAATGGGTTCTGGGAACCAAACTCAGGACTTCTGTAAGAGGATCATGCTGTCTTAATTGCTGAAGCATCTGTCCGGCACCCCAGAAATATTTTTAAATGCATATACTCTCCAAACCTACATCCTAGCCGCCACGTTATTCTCCCAGGGGGCAGTGGAAGCCTCAACATTGCAATTAACTTGCAAGAAATTGCAGTTCTTGAGCTCCAGGGAAGGGAGGATCTGCTCTGAAATACGTGCGCCTCCAGTCATACCATTCTATTGGGCCAGAATCACATCCCCTCCACACTTGTAACAGACCTATAATTAGGTTGAGACATTAAGCAATTCAGCAGTTGTGAACAGAGGAGAGAATGGTTGTGTCGTTATTTAGCATGGGATCTGCTGGCTAACCAGCAGCATTTATCTCTTCTTATCTATTTCCCTGTATACAATCAGAGCCATATCCTCAACTCACATCTTGGAGTAGAAGAACTCAAGACCCCTCATCAACCCACCCCATCACATGCCTGTGGTACAGCAAGAACATTCTGCCTCCCCTCTCATTTCCTTTGGTATTTTAGATTAGAATCTCAGGGCAACATGACACAGTGCTGTGCCCACATCCCAAACCATGTTCGGAGAATCTCCGATCACAGTGATGCCCTGCCCATCTTAATGCCAGTCACCCCTTAATCTATGGCAAGCTGCAAGAGCAGTCCTGGATCAGTGTCCTCATAGTCCCAAGTACAATTCATGGATAAGAAGAGGAAGGACGATATGGGAAAGGCATTTGTAAGCAGCATGTTGTGTGAAGACTGAAAAACATGGAGGAGCAATGAGCTGGGTATGATTAAGCAATGAGCTGTGTCAGCCAGACAAGCTATGAGGTCTTCATCTGCACAGAACGGGTGGATGTCTAGAAAGGGACCACATGCATCTATCTCACCATGCCATCTGCAAGGCCGGTGATGTGATGCTTCTCAGCAGCATCAAACTCAGTACACTGCAGCAAAGGGACAAGGATACCTGGAGAAATGCAGGGCAGTGAGACCTTCCTGTGCTGCTGACAGGAGGGTGGTAGGGACAAAGACTATGAAGGCTGCTCTATCCCAACGGCCACATAGAGGGGAGTCAGTGCCAGGTACTTTCTCCCAGACAGGCCATTCACTCACCTCGGCAGCAAAGTGCTTCCCACTCACGGTGTGTTCAGAGCCGTGGGGGTCATTGCGGTTCCCCCAGTGCAAGTGCAGCTGCTCTGCTCTGTATTGGTGAGGCTGGAAACCCTGGATATACATGTCCGAGTTCAGATTCAGTCTCACTGTGAGGAATGGAGGAGCAGCCTTCAGAGCCCTGGCCAGCTGAACGTGGGCCAGACCAATCCTGGCAGAAAGCAGGCAGGCAGGCAACCCCTACACAGGTACAAGTGACTGCAGGAACTAAGGGTAGACCAGAGCAATAATGCCCGCAGGCCAGAGACCTGGCCTCTTTCTCCTAGTGCAACTCCAGTGGCACCAGCACCTTCATGGGTCTCCCTGGAAAGCATCTATGCCAATGGTGGTCATTTCTTTACTTATCCATGTATCAGGCTTCTGCCTATAATAATAGAACCTTCAGTGAAGAACTTTCCAAGTTGGAAAATAACATTCCAATGACAATTGCTATTTAAGGAGCATTTACTATGCAACAGATTGATGTACCCAATCTCTAGTGTTCACTGAACAGATCAGTGAGTCTGTCTTCCAAATGACAACTCAAGGAAGTCAAAATTCTTGCCCAGTCCGATGGCTCATTAGTATCTTTGAAGGCTAATTTTGGTTTTCCACTTAATTACATCTGGAATCAACTACAACTTAAGCAGCTGGGCACTCTTGTGAGGATTTTTTTGGTTGAATTATTAGAGTTGGAAAGACTCGCTCTAAACCTGGGCTGTGGTGTGTGTGTGTGTGTGTGTGTGTGTGTAGCAAAGTCATGATTCAACCCCAATCTGTCTGACTCTAAACCCTGAGTGTCTACCCTCAGCAACTGAATTGCTGGTGCCTTGAACAGTTTGTGTTGACCCAGAACTCACCCTGGCAACTTAGCCAATGGACCAGTGGGTCAGACCTATCTCTCCCTCTCCTCCCCACAAGAGATGTGCTTCTGAGATGTGCTGCCCCAGAAGAAGCACCAGAGCCAGAACTGTAGCACACACCCATACATAAGACAGTAGGCCAGGCATGCCTCACAGCCTCCTCCTAGCTCCTTCTCCGGGCTGCCTCAGGGGAATCCCTCCCAGCCAGATGAAAAAGTCAGGCAGGGAGTCAGAGGGGCCTAGACCTGACTTTCAGGGTCTTTAAGGTCTCCCCATTACCTGAATGGCCATCATTGGTCAAGTTCAACAGCTTTTCAGCAGACACATTGTAACCTTGGAACTGTAAGGGTGTGAGGCTGGCATCATACTGGAGGATGTCACTATGTAGGTCTATCGGGGACTGTAGGAGGCCCCCACATGATGGGTACTTCTTGGACCAGTTCTTTTCCCCAGTAGGACCTAGAAGGAGAGATCCAAGCAAGCTCAAGCTCAGTTTTCCGAAAGGAAATTTCCTTGCCTTCTAATCTCTGTTTATACCACAGTTCCTTTTTATTCCCTTATCTTTCCATAGACAACCTCTACTCTACATGAGACAAGTGTATGTGCTGGTCTCCTGGCATCCTTGTGGACTTCATCTGAGAGTGGGGAGAGTCAGAAGAAATATTTGACGTCTTTGCTCATTGTAACTGCTATGAGGGAGAAGAGTCGACCCTAGTTTTAAAGATAAACTATTCAAGACCTAGAGATACCAGCTTTTAGAATCAGGCCCAGCAAACATCTCAAAATCATCTGCCATTAAAGTGCTGTGAAGGATGAGAGATTAGAGTAGCCCAGGCCAGAAACTAGGGCTCCCACCCAACCTCCACTTTATTCCCATATTCACACACACACACACACACACACACACACACACACACACACACACACACACATATATATATATATACTCCCTACATGAAGACCAGTGATTCACTAATTTACCATCTGCTTGTTAAGCACCTATTATGTGCCAGGGATTACTCTAGGTCTTGAGGTCACCAAGTTGGATACTATAGGGACATCTAAGCAGGTATCCTAGTGGAGAAAATATGATGAGTCTGCCAAACTGTATAAGGTGGTGTAATTGTTATTTAACTAGCCATAGCTCAAATATGTCTTTGAGGCTGGTGGATTCACAGTGTGATGTTCCTGATAGGAAACCCTGGGGATACAGACTCCTGATACCCACATCTGGAGTGCAGGATGCAATTCAAAAGGGATACTTGAAAAATATTGAGTAATTATAGGCCTGCAATCACAAAGCCATGTACAACAGGGCTTTAACTAGAGGGAAGCCTGGTAATATTACAGTCTAATTACTGTAATAAAATTGACAAGTCCTCAGTGAGGAGAAACAGGCTTAAAAATGAAGACCATCCAGGGCTCAGGCTCCTTGCTAAAAGCTGGATAACAGTCACTGCTCTGTGAATGAAAACATCCCATGTTCAGATAAACCAGCAGTTCTCAATCTGTGGGTCACTGACCCCTGGGGTCCAACAGGTATCACTTAAGACCATCAGAAAACACAGATAGTTACATTACGATTCATAACAGTAGCAGAATTGCAGTTTCAAAGTAGCAACAAAACTAATTTTGTGGTTGGGGGTCAGTACAACGTGAGGAATCATATTAAAGGGTCACAGCATCCGGAAGCTTGAGAACTATGGTACTTCCCCCAGGGAAGAATCTTGAAAGAATGTAAATCTGGGTTTAAAAGATTATCCACCATGGTAATTAAATGGATTTTCAGGCTACTGGCAGATATTTCCTCCCAAATAACTGAGATCTTTGGAGGCTGTAAGGAGGAAATTGTGTAAATTATGTCCTACATAGTCATCATTAGAAGTCAGAGCCGTACTGGGTATTTGGGGGTGAGAGAAATAAGCATGTTAAAGAGAGCAGAGTCAGTGCGGCCAAGGCCTTCAGTAGAAAATAAGGTGGGGACACAGAATACCCAGACAACAAGACTGCAGCAACACCTGTCCCACCACCTTGGCAGGTGATCACAGCCAGGTCATGCTCCCTGCTGGAGCTGCTGCCGGCCTTGGGAGAAATGTCAGGATTGGACATGAAGATTACAGGACTAAGCACCTTCACTCTCTTCGCCAGGCACGTTGGAACGGCTCGCTGAGGCTTGTTCATGTCAAGGCGGCTCCAGTGCGTGTGATAAGATGCCCAGTGGGAACCAGCTTCAAAAGCGATGGCACCAGATGCCGGTGTCCCTGGGCTGCCTGGGGTGTAGACACCACCTCCCCAGTCCTGGCCTCTGTCCACAGGCAAGCCAGTCGCAGGGTCTAAAGAGCCTTTCCCACCTACCCCACCCCCAGCTTCCTTCACTGTCAGCAGCCTGCTTTCTTTTAGTAATTTTGATCCTTCTAAAAATCTATAACCTTAGCCTTAGCCAGGGGGAGGAGATGAAAGCATTTTCTGGATGAAATACTGAGATGAAGTTAGACTTTGGCTTAATAGCAGAGCTACCTGACTTGGTTCGTGAAGCTTTGGTGTCTTCTCCCCGGGTGTTTATCTGGGGGACTTTGTGCATCTGTTTCCTCCCCCTTTTTCCCCCATTCTCCTTGGAGGTGAGGAGCATCTCATTCATCCCCACATTTCCTACAGTGCCTGGTGCAGGGCAGGTCCTCACAGGCTTACTAATTCCCCCACCTGTTTCCTGCTTAGTTTTCTCTGAGGGCATTTGATTACCTGTTTGAAGTCCCTCACGTGCCTTTTTCTCTTAAAAAAAAAAAAAGGAGTTGGAGGCAGCTGTGATGGTGTATATCAGAACCTTAGCGCTCCTTCCTGCTGCCTCTCCTGCCCTCCCTCCTTTCTTTAATGTCTGTGTGTCTATCTCTCTCTCTGTGTGTCTTTCTCTGTCTCTGTGTGTCTGTCTTTATCTCTGTCTCTCACTGTCTTCCTCTCTCTGTCTCTCTCTCTCTCTGTCTCTCTCTCTCTCTCTCTCTCTCTCTCTCTCTCTCTGTGTATGTATGTATGTATGTATGTATGTATGTATGTATGTATGTATGCATGTACATACTCCAGGTTAACTGGCCTATGAGTTTCCGGGGAGATTAGATTCTCTAGTTTCTGCCCTCCATCTCTGTTTAGGAATGCTGGGATTATAGATGTGTGCCACTATACTGTGTGTTATCACACGGGGCCCAGGAATGAACTTGTGACCTCAGGCTTTCACAGGTAACACATTTACCCACTGAGCTGGTCCTCTGTAATCCTAGTATTTGTGAGGTAGAGGCAAGAGGATCAAGAACTCAAGACCAGCCTTAGCTACACTGTGAGTTTGAGACCAGCTTGTCTACATGGGACCCTGCCTTAAAAAAGAAAAAAAGGTTTGAAATTGAGATCACTTGTTCAGGTTCAGAATGTCTCTCCTTAGCTTTTAAATTCACCTGTGTGAGGATTGGTTCTGAGTGGCTGGGACTACTTGTTGAATAGGAAGCCTGCTTTCCATCCTATAGTGCAGGATGTGGCCTGGTAAATATGGCTTCTTAGAGTTTATAGATCCCTCCAGCGCCTCATTTGGACTCTGCTTTCACAGCTGGGGACATTGTCTTGCAGCCTCATGCTTGTGAATCAAGAGAGGGAGGCACATGGCTAAGTCCCTACACAACCAATATCAAACATGACAGCAACTGACTCTGTCATTGTCTTCCAGTTTCTGTCCAGCCCACGTTCGACCTGGGAGGGCACTGGAGGCTACAATTTCTCATCTGAGTCTCAGCTTTCAGTCTTTTTTTTTTTTTAACTGAGACTGTGTCTCATATTTCTCAGGATTACTGTGTACCTCTGATCCTCTGCCTGCATCTCTCCAGTGCTGGATTACAGGCATGCGCCACCATGCCTAGCTTAGGTGGTGCTATGTATCAATCGTTCTACCAGCTGAGCTACATAACCAGCCCCAGCTTTCAGACTCTTGCCACGTGCTTTTTTCCAGAGAGCCTGTGCTGGGAGCAGCTCTTACAAAGCAGTTCCTGTAAACATTTGCCTTTGCTCTGGGTTTCCATGGCACCTCTTCCACTGGTTGGAACCCCATTCCTATCCCTAACACATGATCATGAAGGAGACCATATATATACCAAAGCTTGTTTTCCCAAGTATAAGCAAAACATTGTTTCTTTCTAGTTCCTGAATTTCCCTACTGATGGCAAAAATAAGCAGAAAGATCTTTGTTTTAAAATCTAAAGGATTAATATGGCACAGGAACTGCATTATCTGAGGACCAGATTATTTGTATAGACAATTTCAATTATATCCAACAGCAGAGAGAGATAAGCAAGGTGAACTCCACATCACCCAGCTGTGGCAGTTTGAGTTATGGCTGGTCCTGTTTCATCTTCTCCATCTGCCGGGATAACTCAGAAACAAACCAGCTTGATTTCATCTGCACATGTCTCGGGAGGCTTTCCTAAACCATGAGCGCTCAGAGCAAAATCTCACCACTGTCACCCCAATAAAGTTAAGTTAGAATTGTTACCAAATCCAGTCAGCATTCAGTTTTACACATAGATCATATCTCCTTTTCCCCAAGGAATCTAAGCTGGAGTTTATTAAGAAATGGTGCTAAATTGGGTGGTGGGGTGCATGCCTTTAATCCTAGCACTCAGGAGGTAGCAGCAGGTGGATCTCTGAGTTTGAGGCCAGCCTGGTCTACAGAGTGAGTTCCAGGATAGCCAGAGCTGTTACACAGAGGAACCCTGTCTGAAAAAAGAAAGGAGAGAGGGAGGAAGGGAAGGATGGTGCTAACAGAGTTTTGTGAGGGTGTTAGGGGACAGAGGGCAGACAGGAAAAGAGCAGTACAGACAAAAGACACAGGTGCAGACTTACAGAGGGGCTTGTATTTAAGTGTTTTAGGATTAGCAACAGATACAGTATTGGTATTTCTGAAGTTCTGTTGTTCAAAAGGTTTCTAAGAGATGTTCTTTTTTTCTTTTAGCAAATGTGTTCATTGGGTGGTTTCTAAAAGTACTGGGTGTTTCAGGCTGGTAGGATTGAACACAAAGGTCACAAGAGACTATGGGATCTTCACCAGGTCTAAGTTACAAAGACATGTTTTCACTGTAGGCAGAGTTCATGCACTTGTTTGTGAGAGTCTCAGAAAGCTACAGCTGGGGACGAGGTGAGGTTAAATCCAAAGGTCCTGAGCCAGAAAGACTGCAAGGAAAGAGCCTGATGACCTGAGTTCGATTCCTAGAACCCATGTAAAGATGGAAGCAGGGAACTGAGTCTACAGAGTTGTCCTGTGTGCCCACATATATATCATATACCATGTGATACTTTTTTCAAATTCCAGGGTTATATGTGATTAGGCTTTAAACATAATCTATTGCCTTTTAAATTTCATTTATCATACATGTATGTGCCACTGAGTTCATGCAGAGTTAGAGGACAACTTTGTAGGAGTCTGTTCT